GCACCACCTGCTTAAACACTTGAAGTTAGCTAACTTTGCTGAAACAAGCCCTAAAAGGGCAATTTTCAGGATGGCAATTGTTTCTCAACAGGTAGAGGGCTTTGTTTGGTCTAAAGGCAGTAGCATTCAGCTTCTGATTTGGATCAGCTAAGAAGAAGTACCAAATACTTTAATGTATATTCTCAAGTCCCTACATTCATGATGTTACCGATGTTATCAAATGCTACTATAACACTATCACAGTAAATAAGGACAGACAGCAGCCAATGATGTTTCATGTAGAAACTGTGAAGGGGAACACATCACTGCACAAAAATATTCCAGTGGCACTAGCAGTCTGACAGGCTCCCTTTCCGTGTGCTCCCCAGTTCTGCCTGAAAAGCAATTTCCTATAGAGAAGCTGTTTCTCTTCAGTTCTTTAGCTGTAGCCAGGCATGAGAAGAACCTCTCCTTTACGCCCTTCCAGGCTGCTGGTGGGGACTACACCTGCTTCCACAGTGGGATTTGGACAATGTCTTCAGTCCTACAAAGGATCTCAAAAATTGTACATAATAAAGTACTGAGTTTGGACCATAAAGGATGATTCTTATTGTGTTAACTTGAAATAAATCAACCAAATTTTCACCTTTTAGGTTTAGAGCTGGTTTTTATAAATATAAATAATATAGTAATATACATAATTGTCAATTAGCCATTTTTAGCAGAAGAAATATGGAAGGTATAAATAGGGATATTATATAAAATATATATATAAAGGACATTAATATTGATTTATGCTGTTATGTATTAGTTCACACAATACACTTTTAATGAGTATTTTAAACCGTAGTAAAAATTAATGCTGATTTAAAGCTGAGACGGAAATAGCTAGGACTTAAAACTCTCCAAATTCCAGCACATTCTTCCCCCAGCACTAAGCTTATCCACAGCTTACCTATTTTAAGGTGCAACATTTTTAACTTCACATTAAATACAGCACCATGATTGTAACTTAGAAAGAAAAACAGAAATAAAAATGCTACTGAAGTACTGTATGAGTGAGTTAACAGTATTGTAAGAACTCTGGCTTCTGGAATTTCCTGAATTTTGAGTGCCTGACTTTTTCACTTGGTACTGCACCAAAACTAAAAATTTCCTCTTAAAGAAAGGAAGGGGGGGGGGGGGGAACAACCATATTTTGTTTGGGATTTTTCTATATGCCTTTGACTTCCTCAGCACATCTTATAAATTGCCTAAGTATAACCTTACACCTCTTTGTTGAGCATCAGTTAAACAGAGAGATAAAATTAATAAGGAGGCCTCAGTAATAAATAATCTGTCATATGCCTTATTGCAGAGCAGAGTGTGCTCCAGTTAGCTAGATCCACTACTTTTCACCTGCTTTCTGTCTACTGCTCTCTCTAATCCTCACAAATTAGGGCATGCCAATCTGTTCTCTAAACCTTAGTAGCTCCTTGCTCTCATGAAATTAAGACTTAAGTAAAAAATGCCTTTGAAAATGTGATATGCAAAAGTGAGCGTATGGCTATGTGAATCTGGACAAGCTATTTTTACTTGCCATACTTACCTCCCCATTCACTCTTGTTCCTCTTGTCTGTTTAGACATAAGCGCTTCACAGCAAGGGTTCTGTATACTTCTGATTAATGCTAAGATCAAGGCCACCTAAAAGTTGGACCACAGACCATAGGTGTCATAATCTCCTGAAACTCAAGCGCTATCAGCTGTCTACCTGATCCTAGCAGCTCTGCTGACTTTCAAAATATCAAGAGGAAATGTATGCAAGCCTCAAGTACTGTTGTCTATTCCTACACTTAACAAGAAAGAAGACCCAATGCAGACTGCTACAGTGCAAGACAAAAAAAAAAAAGCTTATGGCCAGACTAACACTGGTCAGGGCCCACTGTTTGGTCTCATTAAGGACAATGTCAGTGTGGACACAGCTTACGTGCTTGTCGTGCACCTTACAGAAAGGAGCCCCAGCTTCTGCAGCTCAACAATGTAAGCCAAGAATCAGGGTCACACTGAGAAGGGAAGTGGGGGGTTTTATGGTATGGATTAATTGAAAACACAAAACCTGCTTGTCCTCCTTTAAATGGGTTTTTTACATTATCAAATGACTTCTGTCGAGTCTCATGCATATACAGCTCAGACAACCAAAGAAAACTATCATTGTAACTGTTGTTTCCAGACACATGCAAGACAATCTGCTGAAGTATCAGAGGCTTCTCTCCTTGAATAGCATCAGACTCCTTACAGCAATACTGTGTGATCTTCAAATGTGCTTTGTTTTACTGACACAGAAGACATAAACCAGTCTAAAAAGTGGTCTTAGAATCGATGTTTATTGTGCAGGTCCCACATAGAAAGATATGAAATATATCTGATGCATGATATGAGAGCAAATAGTAAATGAAAAGCAGAAGATTGCTTGTGTATCCAATTGAAATAGTATACAGAGCTACCAGAGCAAAGAAAATAAGCCAGGCTGAAAAGAAACTTTACAAGCACCACACAAAAGCTATCCTGCACAAAGAGCCAAATACAACATATGTGCTTCTAAATCTTATCCTATTTTGAGGAATTTAATCATGGATAAGCCTTTTGCTGCCACCTGTACAGAAATCAATGTTGCACAGAGTACTTCAGGGCAGTGAAAATAAGTAGGCTGTTGAAGTTGAACTAAGACACAAACTAAACCAGGGATCCAAACTTTTCCACAATAAAAAGTTTCATCCACGTTCATTCCTGCAGATGACAAGTTTAACTGCTGTTCAGTAACATTGATTTTAATGTCAAAGATTATTTCAACTTTGCCCTCTTATTTATCCAGTGTAGAAACTACACACAAGCACACGATAGGTATCAGAGAACCAACCTGTAATAGAGCAAAGCAGTCGTTTCAAGAGCTTTTGAGAGACTGCTAGTCTGATGAGGATGCTCACATCCATCTTATGCTGAGATCACAAACATTTTGTTTGTGAACACTAGTGTTTTCCTGCACGTCTCAGAGGCATGCCAAAGTGTAGCCCTGGAGGACCACTGACATCTGGTGGTCACTGCAGTCCTTCCCAACAGTACCTGCAGCTCCAGGCAGGCAAGGAGTGCTAGCTGAAGCGCAGAGATCACTGAGGTTTGGGGGGAAGGAAAACTGCTTCGTCAGTTATTAACCTGTACACTGTTGCCAGTGTGAACTAAACTGGCACACCTCTGGAAATGTAAGTGTTCTTCTCTAGAACTAACACATTAAAAAAAAAAAAAAAAAGAAGAAGGACAAAGTAAAATGTAAATTAATTCTACAGAAAGCTAAGTCATATCTATTGAATTTTACCCTGACTTGATCAGATTATATTTTACAGATGGCCTGACAGAAATACATGCCAGGGAAGCATTAAGTTACAGGCCTTACTCTGTGTTTATTAACTTAGTGGAATTTGTTGGTTACAAGTAAATGCAGATCAACTGCAATATACAAACAACAAACTCAGTTAAAGCTGCCAGCACATTAATAGTATTGTTGGCTTAAACGTACTCTAGAGATAATAAAGCTTTTCTAAATAGAGCACATTTAATTCAACAAGTTCTTGAGAACAACTGGATCATAAAATAGAATTATATAAAACTGTCTTTTTGACAAATGTAAAAAAAAAAGCAGTTTCCTAGGTAAGATGTTTCTTATTACTGAAAAGGAGCACTGAGATTTCGGTCTTCTTTTGCTAGACAACTAGCACAATATTAAATTATAAGCAGGAGTATTCAACAATTTTATCCATTTTGGTATCTGCTAGATGGTGAGACTGCCCAGACAGAAACTGCCTTAGTTCTCTCCAGCAAACCTGAGAGAGGATCTTCTTGATGCTCAAAAGCAATTGTGCAGAGAGACCACAGCCACCAGCACTGGATCTAAAATGTACTTAGGCCTGTTAGCACTGGTTGTTGATAGACAAACATTTAAAGCTATGTTTTGCTTGTTGCAGTTATCTACAACTTATAAACAAAACTCTGAGGCTTTCAGATATTCATCAAGAATACAAAAATCTTACTGAACTGTCATGAGAATTTTCATCCCTTCCCAATTGCTTTCTTGCTGCAAAATGATTCAAAGTCTACTTTCAGGTAAGTGTGCATTTCTCATTGAAACAGAAGCTCAGTTCAAACCTAATAAAACTCTCAGCATCTGCTGAGTAGTGGAAAGCAATCAAAGTGTTTTTCTACACCTTTCCTACATACTACAAGAGTGCAGCTTTGCAAAAAATCTGCAGTACAAATCATCTGTCTCTGAACTGACCTACATTTTTCACTTACCACCAATATGACACCTCTCCATAAGTAAACAGATTGCTAAATTACAGTTTCACTTTCAATCTAGGCTACCTAACCAGACTGAGAGTGAACTATTTTAAATTATTTTTCCAAAATGCATTATTGTGCATACTTTTTCTAGTTGGCTATGGCACATTGTGGGCAAACATAGAGGCACATGCAATTGCTAACATAGCCAAGTAGTGCGCAAAAAATAGCCAGTGCTCAGAGTGGAAACAAGAAAGGGTACATGGGACACTAATATGGAGACAACCGTATCAAGCCACCCCAATGAAAGCAGGAAATTTGCGCTGAGATAGTTCAGTTTAACCCAGCCAGGGCTTGTGGCTGAGCTAGGTACCTGGCTGGGTCAAAGGCTACCCAAAAGGCTTTCATAAGAAAAGTGTCAGGTTTTTCACTCCCATTTGTATTTCAGCAGAAGTCTAGCATCTGTTGACCGCTGATGCCTATGGAGAATTTCACTCATGGGGCCCACAAGCCATTGATGTCCATATGTGCTTCAGGTCCCTTCCTGTACTGCTGCATGAACATACAGTGACTAAAGTGGCTCCACAAGACTACTTTTTAACACATTCCTGTAGGTCCAACTACAAATCAATAGACATTAATCAGTAGAGACACTCACTCCCATACACAACAGGCGCAGAGCCTATGTTCCACTTAAATCCTACTCCGAGCATTTGAAGTAAGTGCTATTTTCAGTATTTCAACAATGCTGATTTCTGCACAGTAATGTATTTCACCCACAGTGAAAAGCTGTCACATTGCTGCATATCTATTAAATAAAAGCATTATAATTAGGTCAGCTACTGGGTAAAGGAGACAATAACCACTCTAACAAAGCACTGTCACAGCCCTTACAGGTCCTTGTCTGAAAAGCAAGTCTCTTCTTTCCTTTGCTGTCCCCCCAACATATATTTTCCACAAATATCTCAGCATTGCCAATCCAATTATACAACAGCAGGAGACGATTACTGTGTGACAATGTTCTAATTCACAGACATAACCTTTATTTTGTTTATATTTTATTGGGGATATTTTCCTGGAGGGTAGAGATGCCCTCCACTCACCACTAGGGACAGACAGGTCTAAAAATAATTTTGCCTGGTTCTAATCGACAACATCATGTTGGCAAACCTTTTCCGAAGACACATGAAAGCAAGATAACCCATTCCTGCCAGCATGCTGACCAGCAGGGTGGTGCCAAGAACCCTGGGAGCCCTTTTCTTGGCCACACGGAATGCTGTTGGCAGAACAGCCGAGATTAATATATTGTTGACGTGTCCTAAAACTTTGTAAAATGCTTTTCTCTTCAGGACACGCTCATAATAGGCCTCCAAGTTGGGCCGCTTTCCGTTTCCCCAGTTTCTTCTTGCTAATCCCAGAAACTTCAGACGATGTAATGTGACAGCAAGTGATACATCTGCCAGACTGAAGAAATCACCACAGAGCCAAGGCGGATTTTCATCTTCTAAGCAGAGATAAAACACAAACAATTAGGAGCTAATGGAATACAAGCACACGTAGAAGCCTCCATGGGCGAACATTTAGTTTACTGCTATTTCAAAATGCTGTCTAATAAACACCACCAACACCTCAGCTAAGATATGGCTTTAACCAATGAACATTTTACTAATCCCTGTCCATTCTTCACACAATATTGTAAAGTCTTAGGCTTAGCAGCCTGGCCTACATTTGCTGAGGAAAAAAGAGCCACATTTCAGGTTCATAAATTAAAACCCACAGTAAACACTTACTTTCCTCAACTACATTTCTCAAATCTGGATTAAATTAAACAGGAGTGGAAAGGAGGAAGGCAGTTTAGCTTTCACTGAAAATCTACCACTTGCCTGAATTTATCGTCTTGCCTGTGTCACTCAGCTCTACGGCATTCACTCAAGAACTGCTTATTTGCTGGAGACTTTCAAGCCAAAAAGAAACCGATCACATGACTGACCTGCACCAAACACACCAGCTCAGTGTGAAGACTGAGTTTGTCTACCCCTCCTTCCTCTGTGCCTCCTAAGCCCCAAACCATGGGTTTTTTACACTGAGAAGTTTGAGAAGCGATGGATATTCACACTGCCCACCATTAGTCAGGAGCACAGACGGAGACCCGAGGCTCCCTCTCCAGTCAAAGGAAAGAGGTGAATCTTCCTGGGATGGCTCAAAGCAGGCACTGCGAGGCAGCATCACACCTCTAACTTCAGCGATCTGAACCACCATCCGAAAGGGCTGACCTGTATTGACTACACCCAGAGCTTTTGACACCCAGGATATGAAATTTGGTAGTTAGCACAGCTGCCAGCATGAGTACTCTGCTCTAGCCTAGATCTCAAACAGGACTGTGCTGTTCCTTCCTTATTTGCAACCTTTTGCAGTTCTTCCCACACAACAGGCATGCAGAAAGGCTGGCATGAACATTCAGCAGCACCTCTGTGGAAACAGAGAAATTTTGCAATGTCCCTTTCAACTCATTTGCCACCAGAGGAAAGCAACAGTTTGGCACACCGCTGGTACCAGTCCATTTCAACTGGTTATGCAGGTCTGGAAGAAAGGTCTCTGCAGAGAACGAGTGTATCCTATGTTGCTGAAAGGATACCTGGGGCTTCATCCAGTGCATTAAGTAAGAAAGATGATGGAAAGGAAGACCGAAGAAGCTAACGTGTGTGAAGAAAGATGCATGCAGTGGCAGCAACAGTAAGTGAATGAGGGATTTGAGCAGTAGCAAGAGAAGCAGAAGCTGAGAGGTCTACCAGGACCTGGAGAAGCACTGTTCACAAACCTCAAAAATATGAATACCTCAGACAAAATTCCAAGAGGTAGGTAATAGCCATATGTTTTACTAAATCCTGTGATCCCGGCAGTTTTCATAAGCTCATCAATAACGTATCAGTTGACTCCTTGGAAAGGCTATATTTAGCAGAAAAAGCAAAGGGTCTGCTGGAAATGGTGACAGACTTAGTTTGCTGAACAAAATCCTACCATCCTTTGTAAGTTGCAACATTTTCTGTGACTTTCGCTGTTGAGTCAGTAGAAAATTTAACCTAAATTTTCAATTGCTGGTTCAAATCTACTGTTTTGATTGTAACTGATAATTACTACAACAGCTATTTATAGAGCCAAATGCAAAGAGTTATTGATTTGAGCAGATGCAGTTGATATTCACTAATGCTTCATGTAGCTCCCAGTGAAGTCAGAGGAAGGATACCTATTAGCACCATTGGGAGTGGGACCAGACTCTGAATAAGCAGAAAACTAATCCCATTTAAACAAAATTTGACTTTCATTTGGGTGGATTGCAGATAAACACCACTGCTTTCCAAGAGGGCGGGGGGCGGGGTTGCTTAATGATTAGAACACTTACCCAGATTGCTAATTCTGCATCTATCACAATATCAGCACAGTATTTATATAAGATTGTAATAAACCTGTATTAAACATTAAGGTTGTGATCATTATAGTGAACTGAGGCCTACAACTACAACATCAAGAATAACATTCTGTAGTTAAGGTTTTTCTTATTTTGTTGATAAAATACTACAAAATTGTGCAGCTAATTATACTCACTATCCTGGAAATGTGATCAAGCACTCTCATAAGACAGTGAGAACTCACTGACAGCAGCAGTAAACTAAACTAGTATTTAAAACAGTATTGATCCCTTCTGTGATGTTAGATCAGTATATACTAAAAATACCAAATCAGATACATTAAAACCAGTTCTATAATGGTGCTGTCAACAAGTTTACTCAGTCTCCCCAAACATAAGCATCAACAGGATTTAGCAAGAATAATTCCTTACCTGGTGTTTCCTCATTTCGCCGCTGCAATTCAGTCTCAACCTGATCCAAAACTTTTTCCAGTTCATCCAGTATTTTCTTTAGGTATTTTATATTATCATGATCCAGCAGTTTAGACTAAATATATATACAGGTTAGTGTTTTAATCGTTGTAGAGAGTTTATACTTTTATCAGAGAAACCTTTACTTAGATACTACAGTGCTTATTCATATAATGTGATTATTTTCTCCACATAGTCAGTGGGATACCATTTAGATACTGGTAACAATTCAGGTAACAGAAGAAAAACATCAGAGATTCTAGATACTGAGGTTTGCCTCGCCCTGCAGGGTGCTCAACAGCCCAACACCAGCACTGATGTGTACTTACCTTTGAAGTCAGCGGGACCAATTCAATACTTCAGCACACACTAGAAGTGTGTAGCTGATCTGGGGGACAGACTGCTTCATGCCTTGTAGGGTTAAACCACTGCATGACATTACTGGTAATGACAGGTGAAAGAAATGTTTATACCGTGACAGAAAAAATCTCACACTAACAAGCTCATAATAAAGGGGGGGAATACAAAGAGTTTTCTTACTTTAAGGCGCTTCTGTTTTGCTATATAGGCATCTTGAAGGTCTGGATTTTCTTCTGCAAGTTTCTTCAACTCTGATTCTGTGTTACTTATTTGGCCTGATGCAAAAAAACAATGGAATGACATCAGATATCCAAACGTACCCATAATGCAATCCACAGGAACTGATCAACAGCTTGTGTACAAATATCACACTGAAGAAATGAGAAGTGGTACTTCAATTAAGCATCACTGCCAAGTTGGGATTCAAAACCATCACATTTTGGAAAACTTAACTGCTGCATAAATTGACCTCGCCACACCTGCCTATCAGTTTGCAATGAACTAAGTGGTGATCTGCCAGGCAAGAATGAGGAATTCTTGTTAATATTTTTATTTTATTCAGATAAAACCATTTTGCTGCCAAAACCGGTGCTAAATCCATGAAATGCTACTACAAATACCTTAGGTCTCTGATGTTTTTGTACCTCAGCTCCTGGGTTCCTAACACACTTTTCGTGCTGTTAAAGCACAGAGAGGCCCAATACTGAGATTTTCTGTAGGTGACTGTGGGTCACGTGCATAATTCCAAAGCAAAAGCCTATATACCACTGAATATGGAACCAATGTGTTTTCAGTTAGCTAAAATGTGACACCAAAATCCGTCATGTCTTTTGGAAATGTTCACTATGGAGTATATGGATGTTCTAGAAAAACATTCATTACATGACTTAAAGAAGAAATGATGTGAAAAATTTAAGGTAATTTTACTGATTTCTACTATATGTGTAAAGCCTTTTCTCTCCTTAAAATGGGGCTTTGCTTGAAAATGCCATACTTACAGACCTAGAATACCGAAAGATAGTGAATAATAAGTTATTTTCTAAAAATAAATTTTCTAGTAATAAACTAAGAACAAAAGAATAATTACAGGGCATGAATCACCTCTCACTTGTACTTGATAATTAAGATTAATTCCAATTAAGTCTTATAAATTAAACTCATAAAAAATTCTTGCTAGAGAGCAATGAGCTCATTGTTTTATATATTCTTTGTTTCAACCTGACATGACTGTGAAAGCCATCTTTCAACATAGTATATGAAGAACTTGAAGGATGTAATCACACAACTAAAATCTTATATATGCAATTAATTACTTAATTGGATTTGGTACGCATAAACATAATACATGACTCGCTGCTGGCTTATTATATCTAGCACTTTGAAAAAGATCAGCTTTTCAAAGCTGAAAACTAAACCATCTGGGAGAAGTTTGAACAAGCAAAGGAATTGTTTAGGAACATCCATGAGCTATTAAAAAAAATGCCTCAAATCAAGAAAGCAGGCTATGCTTTAAGTATAAAAAGGTAAGAAAACTTCCCAGTTTAGACAAGTAGTAATTTTAGCTCTACCAATATGAATATGTGTGTGTAAACTGACAATTAATACCAACTAGAAGCTAGAGGGGAAAAATACATGCAGACAGCAGAACACAAGACAATGTTGTAAAGTGAACCATAATAAAAGCACTGACTATTACCATGTGAAAACAGAAAAACTATAAATAATGCCTATGAGTAAAGTACAATTGTTCAATAAAGTTATTGTGATCTACATTTGGGGAAAAAACCCAAACACAGATGGTACACTAATATAAGAGAATAATTCATGTTACTTCAGTAAAAAAAAAGAATGCTAATTCCTCTTACTGAAATTACCCATTGTAAATCTCTCCAGATACTTTTCATAAAGAATTTATTTTTAAATAACCACTGATCATTGGAGCAGGAACACTGACTTCTAAATACTTGCAATGCGTAAGAAGTTTCCAGCAAACAGAAAGAAAACCAATTCTGTGCTGATGTTTTATAAAGGATAATTCATGCAACTACAAGGAAAACTAACTGCCTGACTTCACTTCTGACAATGTAATGGCATGGCTAATAAGAGAACTGACTTGCCAAAAATTTTAAGGAGGAGGATAACACAGTCTGTTGAAAACAGAACTTCTCAAACTAACACAGTATCATCTTTTATGATATTATGAATTTAGTAATAGTATAGTTGTATTACATTTCAAAGTCTCTACAGCATTTAACTTTGCTCTATGGAGCATTTTAAAATAAACAAAAAAAATTGCCACGATATAAACCACTGACATTGACAAAAAAAATCAAGAGATCTCAGAACATAACTGGGAGAATCGTACACAGGGAATCATCATTCAGCTGTGTTCTTGGGATTTGATCCTTGTTCTAGAACTATTTTGTTCTTTTGTAATACTTAGAAGGAAACATAAAAGCATTAATTAAAGTTTGCCATGGTACAAAGACTAGAAGGGGCATAAATAAAAAAAAACAAACATGGAAACATGGCACTGATACCCAGTGGTCTGGACTGGTTGATAAATTGGGCCTAAGCAACCAATTGATGTTTCAACAGAGTCCAATGTAAAACATAAATTGTAGCAAAAGATATAGTCCAGAAAAGATACAGGCCACTTTTCTTGGCAAGAGGGCTGTAAGGTTGCAAGCAGTTCTGAAAAGCTAGGCTGAGGTCATGATCCATAACCAGCTGAACAAGGATGCCCAGTGCAGTTCTGTGGCTGAAAGTAACGCTGGAGTCCTTGAACATACATACAGTAAAAAAACCCCAAGAATAAAGAATTAAATATTTATCTCCCTATCTGATACCAAAGTGAACAGAATCTGCTGTCCAGTTCCAGCATCCAAACCGGGGGCGGGGGGGGAGGGGATTTGCCAATCTTTGCCAAGGATTTTTCTTAATATCACTGAATGTTGTTTAAACCAAGTATTTCTGCAAACTACTGGATTTGAAACAGGTGTTCATTTCAGGAGGTTCTCTGTTATAAAGAGGACTGGGCAACATAATCTAGAGTTACTTCTTCTGCCCTCAAAATGTTTTTTCATGGGAAAATGGTATGTTATAAAAGTCCATCAGGTAAAATACCAATCCCAAGAAAGTCAAAAGACATTTTACCATTGATTCTACAAGGCCACCAGTTCATCCTTTATCCTGATTCTATATTGTTGTGTTATTTGGACCCAGGATTTTGGTTTAAATTGTACTTTAACAATTTCCCTTGGTCAGATGAACTCAAGCTATTTACTTCACACCTTTGGTTTTTTTCCTCCCTACCCCCAGCACCAAGTTGACACTACCAAGTTCCTCAGACAAAAAGGGCTTGATGATTCTGTTATAATATATTAGATAAACAGACTCTGTTTCATTGAGGGTAATCTGCATTTGCACCACCTTGAGAGGAAAGCAATTGCTTTAATTTAATAGGTAAACTTATTACAAATTTACAGTCACAAAAAAATGGGTTTCCTTCAGTGTAGTGGTTTGATGTGAGCAGTAATAGAGCTGTTCCCTAGAAATTGCTTTATAGGCATAAAGAGCAAGATCGGAAAATAAAATACTCACAGCTGTCACAGCTGCCATTTTCTGTTATGCACAAGAAGCACATTTTCAATCATTAGGAAAATTAATTCCACAGACACCCCAAAAATGCCACTTCCGCTTTCCCGTTTTCAAATCATAACAGACTACAAAATCAATAAAAAGTATATGCACAAATTATCAAGGGCTGCAACTAAAATTGAAAATCTGCATTCAATATATTCTGCTTAAGGTGCACTGAAGACACAAGATGAATGTAATGCAACATCCTATTAACTGATAAGCATTCAGATCTATACCAGTACATACTACGAATTCTGCTGGTAGCATAGGCTGGAATCATGGAGTCCACTGTTAACTCGGGATGCAGGATGCAGCCATGCGTGTAGGCATCCATAGGCAAGGAGTCTAAAAGCTCTCTATAGTGTTGCACCCTTGGATAATACATGCTCCCTTCTTCCGGCATTAATCTTGGTACTTCCTCTGCAATACAAAAGTTAAAAATAAAGTTAAGAAAAGAAGAACCATGGAATTGACCAAAAGTAGTATTTCCAAAGTAACTTCAGTCATGTCCAATTGGCACTGACAACGCAGCCAGTTAAGAAAGCTTCACTTGCTCCCCACCGTCACTCAACAGTGTTATCACAGCTCAGAGAAATGTATATACACGTACTTAATTTTAAAATGTTTGAATAATTCCAATTCCTATGCAGCAACCCACATAAACACGTATTTAAGAGGCCTTCAAATCAGAAAAACAGATTCAATGTCTATTTTGTAGTTCTAGGAATGGACGACCATGGCACACACCATTTAGCCCTCTCACGGCAGGGCACAACTGAGGTTGTAGTAAGTTGTTATGGCTGAAACATTACAACAGCTGCAATGCTGTAAAAATTACAGTACAGGAATCCTACTCAAAGCATGATTAGAAGTATTCCCGCACACCAATAAGTTTTACCCTGCCCTTGATCTACCTGGGCCCCGACTCCTCATTTGATGAAAACACCAGCATTAAATATGTATTATGTTCACCCAATGATGAAGTTTTCTTCGTGCCTTAGAAATCACAACGCTAAAGCCCTGAAACACAAAATGCTGCCTCTTCACACCTAAAACCACACAGCTTTGCATTTCCTTCAAAAATTGAGGCAGTCTGTTTTCTGGCACTAGAGACATGAAGAATTTCAAAAGCCTGCACGTGATAACTTCCGGGTTCCTTCTTCTTACTTTTTTACCTCTTCACTCCATTTTGGCTACAAAAATAATTTACTCATTCTACTTCCCTTTTCTGCCCAAGATGATTCTGGAATTAGGCATCTTTCGGTTGGTTTTTTGGGGTGCTGGGGTTTTTTTTGCAGAGAAGCAGGACCTGCCCAACAACCGCACTTCTGCAGCTCCCTGTTGAACGGGCTGTTTTTCGTGGCAGTCTCACCACAGGGTTAGCACAGCGCAGCGCTGCCATTGCTGACTTCTCCATCCTTCCCGAAGGGGTAAGGAGGGCAGCGGGGCACGTTTTTACTTGCAGCTGCTTGTAAAGTGCTGGAAGACCTCCAGTTCATTTTAAAGGAACGTGTTCTTACCCCATACCACCAACTACCAGGAGAGCCCATTTACTTGTGAGACTATAAACGTTTTCTGGTCCTCAGCGAACCACCAGGTAGCCACGCGGAGCTGACCCCAACACTGCTGCAGGCTGCGGGGAAGGATTTCACACCGAAACGCCTGTGGGATTACCATCTACAAACGTTGCTTCGAGGTAATCGATAATCTGCGTTGCCTCGCAGATGATGTTTTCCCCATGGATCAGGACGGGTACTTCTCCAGAGGAATTCAAGCGCATGAACCAGGGTTCGTTGTGCTCGCTCAGCGGCAGGGTTTCATATTGGC